GAAGTCCAATTTGCACTTTTGTAAACTCCATATTATTATTTATTCTTTTCCAGTAAATATAATATATTACAAAAAAAATAAGTACTTCACTTCACTATCAACAGTTTGTTATATTAACGAAACCAAAGCTCTGCTACCATGTTGAAATTAAAGATGAGGAAAGAATAATTGGGTTTAGACATTTTTGTTATGTTTTTATCTACAAACTCATATTATACAAAACTGCATAATTAATAATAACACAGCTGAGAGAAAGAAAGAAAAAATACCCCCGCCGCAGCAAACCTGCAGACTAAGCGAATTTCCATTTGCCTGATTGGATTTACACTAAAATGTCTACTTAAAAATTTAACATTTATTAAAATAGAATTAGTTTAACAGGTACTTAGGTTTGCTGCATCAGGGAGGGTAAAACTGCTTTTTTTTGTAAAATGTTAATAGTTAGTAAGAAATAAAAACATTTTCCAAATTTGATCAAAATATGTTCATAAACAAGCAAACTACAACAGTTTACTTGTTCTCCATAAGAATAACATGGGAATTAAAAATTTACATTTTTTTTGAATTTTCTCCGTAACCATTAGGCGCATAGTAACACTTCAATATACTAAATTATTTGTTTTTTTAAGCTCTACAAAATGGTTTGGAAAGATTTTGCAAAATTTTATGTTTTTTGGGTCAAAAATGGGAAAAACCTATTTTTACCCCATAAAACCCCCGTTCCCATAGCCCGATCATGCTGGTTCGCGAACTCGTTCAAGTTTATCCCGCCTTACACCTTCAAACCAAATTTTATCAAAATCGGACAAAAATTACTCAAGTTATCGTGCGGATGGACACATATATATATATATATATATATATATATCTATATATAGATATATAAAAATTTGAACGAATGGTGTTTTTGGCTTCTGGGGACATCAAAATGAAAAAGTAAATCGGTCCCGGGCCTAGGTCTTACCATGAGACCTACGGTAATAGCTACTTCCCTATAGGGAAATTCGCTAACAAAGAGGAAAATTCTTTAAATGATAGATAAGTTAATCACATATTATCTTAACAATTCCTAGGTACATGAACTCCCTCTTAACCTGGATCTGATTACCGAAGAGAAGAGAGTTGGTACTCTAGTGATATCAACATTTCTCTTCCTTGTAAATAGTACCATTACGGTCTTCATTGGATTGACCCTCAGACCTTCCTGGTTACACCACCTTTCCACTATGGACAATGCCCTCTGCATGAATTCCAGGCAAGTGTTCATAAATTTTCCTCTTATTAGAACAACAATGTTGTCAGCATATCCTTGAGCGTACATGCCCTGTGCATTGAGCTAGGACAGGAGATCATCGACCACCAGGTTCCATAGATTCGGTGACAAGACGCCACCCTGTGGACACCTCTTTGGGCCTTGACCTCTCTCACTGTCCCACACAGAGAAGCTTGCGCTCTCCTTCATTTGAGCATGTTGCCTACCACCTCACAACAGTGCTTCCCAAATTTCTTGATACCAGCTTTGATACAAAAGCTCCTTCTATATCAATAAATCCAGCCACCGCTATTTCCTTGTTCGAGATAGCATTTTCAATCTTCCAAATCAGCGCATGCAGGGCTGTTTTGTATGAATTTCCCTTCTGATAGGCGTGTTGGTTCGGGTGCAAAGAACGGCTTACAAGGACCATATGCTTTATTCTTCTATCCACTAATTTCTCCATGGTCTTCAGGAGAAACAATGTAAGGCTGACAGGTCTAAAAGCCTTAGGCACAGCATATGTGTCCCTTCCAGGCTTTGGTATGAATACCACCCTTGAGGTCCTCTATACTGTTTGTATTACTCCACTGGCTAAGCTGGTCCTGAAAAGACACACCAAGGAGTATCAACTGGTCCCCACCCTCCTGCAAGAACACAGGATGGATGCCATAGGTACCAGGAGCTTTAAAATGGTTGTAATGCCCTAAGAGCCCATTTTACACCCGTAAAGGTGATCACAGCCCAAGCGCAAGCCCAATCTTCCCTTGTCGTCCGTACCCTAGTCTCTCTTGCCATCTCATCTTCGACTGTGTTCTATGGTTGCTAGGATCCTGGGAAGTGAGCGCTCAAAAGACTCTACAGCACTTCTTCTGGGCCATCCGTATATGTACCATCCTCCTTAAGCATTGTTCCTAAAGGATTGGCCTGGCCTCGAGCTAAGACTCAATGAAGCTTTTCACATTCAGAAACACTTTCCATGTTCTGACAGAATTCTCTCCATGACTCTTTCTTAGCTCTTCTAATTGTCCTATTATAAACAGTGAGCATCTTCGAGTAGTTGTTCCAGCTTCCTGTACGCTTTGCTACATTATACAGTCTGCGAACCTTCCTCCTCAGGGCCTCTAACCCACTATTCTAATCCACCAGCAGGCTTGCCTGCGCATGTTCTTTACAGTCTCCGGGCAGGTTTCTTGGTCTGAGCTTAATATGGCAGAATTCAAAGAATTCGCCATACTCCCCACCCCATGCCCTTCTGTGTCTTTTATTAGGCTTAGTCTTTCCCCTAGCACCTCTCGATACTGGTTCTAGTCTGTCCTTTTCACGTTCCTATAGGTCTCTTTTGTACAGATCGAGGCTATAGTAAATTCAATGTGACCCTGATCCGACGCTGAGTGGTCATAAGACACCCCCCATTTTATAACCTTTGTCGCCGCAAAGTTATGTCCAAAACCTCTTCCCTTAGTCCCCTCTTCTCCTCTCTCTCCTCTGTTTACTAAAGGTTGGTTTGGATCTTTTGTTCAATATAACTAAATTAGATTCAGCTATAAAACTTAACAAGCCTTCGCCTCTCTCATTGACGACACTGTTACCCCAGGCCACGTGATGGGCATTGGAGTCTCAGCCCAACAACAGGGGTTTCCTTTCTCTGGCTCCGTATTCTACAACCATCCTCATTTCTCTGGTGTTAGGCTGGTGACACACTATCCGTTTTAGCAGGATGTGGTTTAGCGGGATGCATTTTTACCACATTGACATTGCCCTGTCATACTTGTCCTATTCTACCGCAACATATTTTGAGTGAAGAGCGCGGCATCACATGCAGTGCACTGTTGATAGCGACAACATTACGATGTTGTCTAAAGTGAAATTTGTCTGTGCTCTTGAAGCAAGTGGTTTGTTGTGAAAACCTTTACGTAGGCGTTATTGGGTAAATGATAGAGATGAACAGTTTAAGAGTTTTTATCAAAGTATATGGCAATATCCTCGCACTTTTTTTAATTATCATAGAATGTCCATCACATCTTTTGATGAGCTGCTGCGCATTTTGAGGCCACATTTAACGAAGATCAGTACACAATTCAGGAATTTAATCAGTGCTGAGGAAAGAGTAACGATAACTCTAGCATCTTTCATCTTAAATTCAATCTCCAACCAGTCGTCATCTCTTCTCCAACTAAATTTCAACATTTCTCATGTTCAGTCCTATCAGAGAAGTCTTGAAGGTGTTTATCCCACAGTGCAGGTAGATCATGGACTATTCGATAAACTTGTCTGTGTCGAACATGCTAAACGCGCACGGCAAAACAGGACAGTGTGACAGCTCTCATTTAACTGCATGTATTTATCTTTTCATCCCGTCGTCCGGTCGTCCCGCCACGCCGCAACACCTTACAGTGGATCCCGTCGACGCGCCGCAACCGCATCAATGTGAAAGCTCCCATTAAAACCCATGAGCTTGAATCATCCCGCCAAACGGGTCCCCTTTAACCAGACTGGCGAAACCAGATAGTGTGTCACCGGCCATACATGACGGGCCTGGGAGTCATACTGCAGGTATACTGAAGCCAGTAGGATTCTGACGTCATTGACACCCATCTGCCCGTATACCTCGGTCACGGCACAATCCTTAGAACAGAGATTAGTGACTTTCAGTGTCTTAATATTTCTGCTGACAAAAATGCAAGCTCTAGGTTTGTCACCATCACTGTCAGTATCATATATCAACTCACCTTTTGCGTTGCCCATCCCCTTGATTCTGCATCCTGCGGTCCATGGCTCCTGGATCAGAGCCACGCCTATGCGGTCAGCGAGGATCTTCTGGCAAAGCGTAGCCAAAGCCGCCCTGCTGTGCTGGAGATTGATCTGGACCACCGCAACCATCCTCTACTTGTGGGGATCCTTGCTCCCATGCAGCCTGAATGTAACCCTCTTGCAGCCCAGGAATAGGCGCATCGCAAGAGACTTCATCTTCTGCAGGGAGTTTTCGTCAATTATCATGACCAGGAATTGTCCGCCAGGGTTTGAGTATCCCCTAAAAAACCGCCCAGTGGTCTGTATTCCCACCTCCCCTTCACCCTTAGCCCCCTGTATAGCGCTTTGGTCACGAGAAATCTTTTTAATTTGCTTTCAAAGCATCTAAAACTTGTTTCAGATTTTATTATTTCAGGAAGGTAGTAATAATATTTCCCACCTATTCTCATGAATTTATTGTTTAGTTTCATATTGTTTTCCAGACATCAGTTTGTTTGCTAATGTAACCCTTTGAACTCTATTGATTTTTTTTAATTTAGTGATTTAACTACCAATACGCTTATTTTTACAAGGTCTTCCCTCAGCTATAAACATTTCTAGCTGGATAATTGCGTGGTTATATAATGCTTGCATACAAAACAAGGATGCCAGGTTATTAAGCTAAGTTGTTTTACGATGGTTTGAAAATAGACCCAGCTGTTTGTGATCATTTTGCTATTGGCTCGATAATCAGCTGATCTTAAACAGTAACAGAGCTCTCATCATATCCACTCAACACTCATCATTAACTCATCTTTGTCTCAAAATATACGGTGAGCCAGGGTCTTATAAATCTAATCTAATTTGTAAACTTCCAAAGTTCCAAGGTGGAGCTAATTTGTCTCCTTGGTATCTAAAAGCCAGACTACAATGTTTACATTTGACATTTTGATTTCCTGTACATTTCAATGTTTGTGTAATCAATGTGTGTCTCACTCAACTGATATGTTTACAGAGGGGACACCACCACCATCCTAGGCTTCTGTGCAGGACTGTACATTGGTGCCTGGACCAATTACCACCGAGGGGTAATGAAAGAACCACCACTACCTCCTCCTTACACCGTCATCTGGCCTTCGTGGCCCATGTTTGGTAAGTTAACAAATGAAATTCAAGCATTTCTTTACATTTACCGTTCTGACAATGAATATCTATAAAGCTGTGGTTTCCTAGACGCGTAATAGATGCGCTGCGTGTGCGCATCTAAGACGCAGCACACTCGTCTTATGGAGTTTTGTGTAAGCGGTTTCTAAGGCAGCGTATCTAATTCGCGCGCATCAATAGCTGCGTATTTGACCGACTGCTTTCAGTTTCAGAGCAGTCTGAGTTACGCTGCGTTTTAGACGTGTCTTGTGCAATGTATTCGGAAGTAAATGTTGTCTAGAAGGCAAAATTCTCCAACAACGAAAAATTAATTGAATTTGTCTCTTGTAATTACATATTATGGAACTACGTTGTTCATACAATTACAATTTTTATAGTATTACATTTCATATCATTCATTATGTAGTGTTAATTTCCCTATAATGTGTAATATTAATATTTAATTCCCTTATTAAATGTTCCCTACAATTAATTATTGTCCTCACATAATTTCTCCTTGTTGTAATTTGTAAATAAACCTAATTTTGACAAATATTCTTTTCAAGTTAGCACAACACCAACTCCCAAATATAAGATGTATAATTATAATTATAATTATAAATATAACTATTTTAAGAACCCCTGAACATCTTAGTAATAAGCCTATATTACTTACTAGCAGAGTACCCGTCCTTCTTACGGGGTTGGCGTATAAGTATAAAATGCTTTTTGAAGTTATACTCGTAAAAGGTATTTTCGTCAATTCGGTAAATCCCGAATAGGTAAATATAATAACAGTAAAAGCAAAGGGGGAGAGGTTGGAGATCGCAGTGTGCGAAAATGCTCAAAAAATAAATATTTATTAAATGATGACAAAATATTGTGTATTTTATTTTGTGCCGTTTAAGAAAATATACAGACTGTCCCAAAAGTCCCGGACCGGTTTAATATTTTCTAAACGACAACAGATAAATCAATAAGATTTGGTACATCAATACCACACCTAAAAATCTACTTTTTTAAGGAAATATCAATTTTCTGTCACATCATGGGAATGTCCCGCAAGGAGTCAGAAGGAAATCTTAAATATAAGCATAGCTTGACATGTACATCAAATTAAAGGTATTTACTAGCAGAATATAATGCCGCAAATTTGAACTCAAACGGACAACCAAGTCAAGAATGACAGTGGTTCAAAGATTCATTTTATTTGTATTTGGGGGCACAGCCCTAGGAATCGGAAAAAAATTTTTAACGTAAGCATAGGTCGATATGGACATCAAATTAAAGGTCTTCACTAGTAGATTACAATGCCGTAAATTCAAGCTCAAAAGAACGCCTGAGTAAAAAATGGCAGTCGTTCAAAGATTCAAAATGGCAGGTTCAAGAAATCTTTAAACGGCTGCCATTTTTTACTCAGGCGTTCTTTTGAGCTTGAATTTACGGCATTGTAATCTACTAGTAAAGGTCTTTAATTTGATGTGCATGTCAACCTATGCTCCTATCTAAGATTTCCTTCTGACTCCTTGCGGGACGTCCCCATGATATGACAGAAAACTGATAGTCCTTTAAAAAAGTAGATTTTTAAGTGTGGTGTTGATGTGCAAAATCTTATTGATTTATCTGTTGTCGTTTAGAAAATATTAAACCGGTCCGGGACTTTTGGGACAGTCTGTATAACACTTTATACTTTGGATATTTCTTATATAAGAAGGAATCTTTAATCCTCCATTAAGATAAATTAAGGAAACTACCCATTTCCCCAGGTTTTCCTGATTTACTAAGCTTGTAATAGTCTAATCTTAAATCAAACTGCATATTTGCATTTAGGAAAAAAAAAACTGAACAATTTGAGTACCCATAGTCTAATATTGTAAATAAAAATAATTTTCCCTGATTTTTGAAAGAGGGCCCTTCTGGATTCTACTGAGCCTGACCCTTCAAGGGTTCAAATGTGAATATCCGAAAGTTAGTTTTTATAAGTTTAGGTACCATTCTAAAGAAAACTACTTATCTCATCAAGCCCAAATTTGACACAATACTTCCTGTTACCATGGTGAATAGTTTCATGCATTTTTAGAATGTTACCATTAAAATTTTACTTCAAAAATAAATTATTATAAAAAAAACATAGTTAAATATTAGTAATTTTTATTTAATTTTATATTTTAAAAACTAGACCTAATTTCTTGTTTATATAGCATGAAATCATAGAAAACAATCTAAGGAATGAATATAACAAAAATTTAAGTCAATATCTCTAACGGTTTAAAAATGAATGTACCTATCTAATCACATGTTTTCCCATAAGAATAACATGGGAGTGGTATTCGCGCACTGCTCCCCTTAATACTACGGTTAAAACATCCGTGAGGGCCACGTACACGTTCCTAATCATGTACTTTTACTTACGCTTCTTCGTAACTTTTAATACCAAATTATACATTTCATTGTCTAAATCATCGTATAACATCATAGTAGCTACTAGTAATCTCTCCCGTGAATCTGACAAAATGAATACAAGCTATTTCAATCAGTTTATTATTTGTTGTTTGCAAACAACCCATCCCTGCATGCACAACTTATGGAATTTATTAATCACAGCGCTTATCATAACATTTGTTTGGATGTAGAAATATTCTAACACCAAGATAGAGCGGCATTAGCACTGTCCATTGCCACAAAACTACTAGTGCTTAATAGATGGACTTCTAACTAATGTTTGCAAACATTTTCATGCACAGCTGAGCTTTTATTCTCATGATATTATCGATGTCACAAGAAGTGTCTGTAAAGATTTCACGATAGAAAGTTTTCCTATGTAGCCACATCGGAAGACAATAAAGTCCCCATAACCACATGAGATGTTCAATGGTATATCCTTTAAAAAATCTTGGCTGGATGTAAAATCTCAGGCTTGAACACTATTACTTCAAATATAATAAAGAAACCAATCAATAAAAAAGTCCTCTATTCATATTGTGGATGTAATGTTACTACAGGTACAGGAGTGCTGCGTACTGTTATCGGTCTCTGCAGTATTGTCGCTACTATCGCTGTCTGCAAGTCTGCGCAGCACGCTGTCATGCGCTGCATACTGCAGGACAGTTCCTCTCCGTCGTCCAACACTAAGAACTCTGCAGCAAGAAGTATCGTAGAACTGACCTGCAAGTTTGTGTCTTACAGCCTAATTGGCTTTAACATCTTATACCTCATGCCCAATGTTTTCAAAATGCTCAGCATCGAGCGACCCACGTTTTACACTGAAATATGAGAATTTTCAAGTTGTAATTTGTTGATTAAGGTGTTTTAAACAAATTTTATTAGTGTCCTTATGCATTTCCCTTTTGAAAAATGTATCTTGATTTGTTACCGTTTTGTTTATGTTACAGTCCAACCTCGGTATAACGAATCTGAAGTGTTGAAACTGAATATTCGTTATATCAAGGATTTCGTTAAAACGAGGTTTTGTTATATTGAGGACGAGGTTAGGTTTGCAAGAATTTTGCTAATTCGAGGTTCAGAACCAGCATCGGTCAATATAGGTCAGGATTTCACCTCATTAAAAGACAATTAAAGTAGCATAGGCTACAAAACATTACAGTACAGTGTTTACATTGTAAAGTAGAATTTCAATTATCCGGGGTAATAAAGGGGAGGGATCTTTGCACAATATTGCACAATCATAACATTTCTAGTCATTGACCTTAGTACAGGTTACTGTAAGTTTAAAATCACAGCTTTCTCTAACCCACCTAAAACCTAGCCAAACACTGTATTGTATAGCAATAAACGACATAAAGAACAAAACAGAACAGTAGAGAGTTTTGTAAGCTACTGCTCGTGATAGACCGGCAGGCTACAGTACTGCTTTATCACAACAGAGGAATGTCAATAATAATCATCAACTATAGCATTAGCATTGGTGTTGCTGTAAGTTGAAACAAATTGTATTGAAAACAATAAAAATAAGCGTTGACGTGACCTTAACATTTCATTTGATGAAGAAACTGATTTTTCGAAAACAATAATAGGGTGGGGTTCGTTATATCAAGGGAAAGACACAGACAATTTGTTAAGTAGTGGTTAAATTTGCTATGTAGAGGTTCTGACAATGATAAATTTGTTATATTGAGGTGTTTCATTTTAGCCGGGATCATGAAAAATTCGTTAATCAAGGTTGTTGATATGGTATGTTTGTTATGTAGAGGTAAAATATACATTGTGTCTTATGGAGGTATCTAGGGGATTTGAAAAAATTTGTTATACTGAGGTTCGTTATATCAAGGTTAGACTGTACTTGATTTATTATATTAGTTATATATGTATAGATAATTTAGCTGAGACCATGATAAGTATTGTTTACCAGAGATTCTAAAGTATGATTATTTACTAAGTGAATTATGGAGCCATAATAATCCAGTCCAGTAGAGAGCATGATTTTATATGTAGCAAAGAAACTATTGTTTTAGTTTGCTATGTAATTTGTTTAATTAATTGCTGAAAATCTTTGTTTGCATTTATATAAACATTCCAGATTTTACGGTTTAACCTACTGAAATAGATGACTCCCATTGCTCATAAAATTTGTTGCATTACTAAAACGCAATTAAAGGGGAAATTCGCTAAAATTTTGTATTGTTAAAGTGCAATGAAATAAATAGTATATTTGATCACTGGTGCCTAAAGTGACTCTTTTCACACACAACACATTTTCTGTTGTGTGATGAACTATATTTTTTTTCATATTGCACCATTCGAACAAACTGAAACTATGTTACAAAACTAAAATAGTTTTCATTTAAAGACAACCTCCTAAAACTACTTTTAACTTGTTTTCGAATAAATTTGCTGATGGAAACAAGCAGCTGTCTAGTAAGTGATTCAATCGTTTCATCTATTACGATTGTGTTAGTGTACATTATACTATCGATTTGTCGAAGTATTTGCAATGAGGCAATAATTAACTACAATCGATACACAATTTCGATACATGCAATTATTTTCAATCAAAATTTAACATGAGTTGTTAACAGCTGATTTTTACTCCCTAGGCGCTAAAAACGCTTTTTACTCCTAGAGAGTAAAAATGCTACTTTAGACCTGGAACGCATGCATTAAAAATGGTTGTATTGCTGCAGTAGGAAATATATTGAACAACCATGAACAAAACATTTGATTTATAAACCTGGTTCTAGGATGAATTTGATTCTTTTCTTAAGAACGTACAAGGCCCAAACATGTAATTTGGATTATTTCATGGCCATTTTTAATTTTTTTTAAATACTACACATTTTTTTTCAAATTTACAAAACAAGATTTATTAATAAGCAGTACCTTGGTTCTTAAAGTTTGTATCTATTGTTTTGTAGCATTAGTTTTACAAAGCACAATGAAATTAAAGACATTTCTGAACAAAGGTTTAAATACCTAGTTGTTGGATGAATTGGCTTATTTTTAAGAGAATGTTTAGGGTAAATTTTTTACTATTGTTTAGTTCATTGTAAGTTTTTTTTTCATTGCGCTATAAAATGACAACCTTTGAGCTACACATATTTTTTTTTAAATTTAGTGAACAATATTTATTAATAAAAATTGTTTGAAAAAAGATTTGTTGTTGTAATAAAATTTTTGTTGTTGTTGTTCCCTAAATTGTTACCTATAAGTAAAATACCTTGTACCAAACATAAAATTCCAGTTTTGCCTGTTATTCAATCTTCAATTATATTTAGACAGCATTTGCTTAGCTTGTAAAATAGGTAAAATCATAACATTCCTCAGCTCAAAATACATAGACTTTCAATTCCACTGTAAAAATATACATGAATATATCGCACTCTAGTATTGACACGTAAATTTTAATAAAGTTATGAACTTTTTATCTACTAGGTTTATACTAGTATGTTATCATATTAGAATTGAATGTCGGTGTTCTTTTAGTAGAGCCAAGTTTAGTAATAGTAACAACGCTTTTTTAATTCTATGTCTTAGGTTTGCTTTCTAACAATGTATTATTTTTACGGTAAGATTGTTCTAGATTCATCAATTATTTTAAGCTTTAAAGAGTTTCTACGATAATATTGTCATTATATTCTAAATCTAACAAATTTGTACTTATCGATAATATTAGTTTTAAAGATACAGTAGAACTCCAGTTATGTGTATCAATTGGAATCGAAAACTGCTTGGATGATCCTAAATTAATTGAAAAAACTATATTCTTTTGAGTGATTTTCCCATATTGGGAATAAGTAAGGTAATAAGGTCTCACGGTAAGACCTAGACCCACCCATGACTGATTTACATTATAATTTTGAGGTCCCCAATTAATAAATATAAATTTATTGATATCATACTAAGCTAAAAGCACACTGTAGTACCTCCTCTGTAACAGCAAACCTAAGTACTCGTAAAACCTAATGTTATATAAACGGGGTAAAATGTGCCAATTTTAATGTCGTTTGGCTGCGACCGTATCCGATCGGCTATGTTTGTCAACACTAATCAGGAATGATTGGTTCTTTCCCGCCTAAAGTTTAGACCTCAGTAGGGTAGTGCCGCATGGTAAGGGGCATAGGTGCTATGATTTGTTAGGTCGGTTGAGGTTACCCGACACTTTTTGTGTTGTAGCAACCATGTGTTATCTAATAATAATTTATAAATAATTTTACATTATTATATAGTTTTTATTTATTATATACTATACAACTTTTATATGAAAAGTTTATCAAGCAATGGTTCCGTGGTAAAGGCCATTGTGCCCAACGCTGCCATATTCGACAGATACAAAAATAGCAAATCATTTTTTTTTTCGGTAAACTTTTTCCAAACTCAATTTTACTATAGCAATCCTATTTTCCTTTAAAAATCTTGTATTTTATGTGAAAAGATTAAGCACCTAGGTGACCATACTGTCAGAGGTTGGCCGCAGCGAACGTGTTAGTAATAATCTTGTCTGGTAAATTGAAATTCGCTTAGTATGCTGGTTTGCAGGTGTATTATTTGAACTTGTGTATCTTTTAGTTTTACATGTACTCTTTTACTTAAATGAAATATAACACTTTTACATGTTATAATTTAGTGCAAGTATGTATTGATGCAGTATAAGTAAGTTTTTAATTTCTTCCTATTGTGGGAGTTCTACAATATCTTTACCAATAAATTATTTTTGTATTTTTTTACATTGTATTTAAATGCAAAGTTTGATACATACAATGCTACGATGCTATTGCTAATTAGTTGATGTTTATGTTAAGATAAAATTTTTATAAAACTAAATACAATGAAAGAAGAAAATAAAATCTGAATCTGATTTAGAGCTGTAATGTTATCTCCCTCTGCATTATTCCTACTTCCTTGGGCCTATTGTTTCTTTAAATTAACAAAAATATGATAGATGTTTGTCAATTATTTATCACCAAAATCAAGCAAAACTGTTGGAGCAGTCTATCGTTTAGAGTCTTGTGTGGAATTGACCTTAGAATAGTATATTTCGTAACAAGAGTAGAAAGTGAGTCATTACATATTTGAGACCATGTTTGAAGTGCGAGATTTAGCGAGAGCACTTTTAATGCTCGAAAATATGTGTAGACCCACTTTCACTCGTGTTTTGAACGTTACTTATCACTACACTACAAACAAAAATAATTTTCTTCATTACAAAACTCATAGAATTATTTAGGTTATGCCTTCAATTTAAAGTTTACTTAAGTTGAAGATTGAAACAGTTGATAAAATAATAACAAATATTTGTTCGTTTACGTCAACAAAAAAAAAAAAAAAACTAGTCTAGACCTGCCCTCCGTGCGTATTGTGTTTCCCGGTACCGACGTTTTTGTAATGTTTATTTATTGTTCGTGTTTTCGTTTGTGTGTTAATTGTGTGACATTGATGGTTTTTAACTTCAACGACTTCCTCTGGAACAAAATTTGATGTCCTTGACAGCCTGATGAAGTTCCCATCACGAAACTGTAGTAGCCTGCATATTTTGACTACAAAGGATCACTTGACAGTATAAGGTACCTATTTAAACCATTATTTACCAAAAAAAATAGTAAACATTAATTTCGCATAGTAAACATTCTTTTGCCGTAGTAAACAATGTAATGATAGATTTTTGCAAGTGATAAACATGCAACAAAAACGTGACATTTTGCAGTGGTGTAGCAAAAACTTTGTTACTTACTAGTTTCCAGCTGATTAGATAGTCAGTCCCTAGAGTACGACCTTTATAAATCAAAGTTTTCATGATACGCCTCAATAACTGTTTTATTCTTGTTAAGACCTGAAAATCCATCCTCTTTGTTAGTTTGGCTAGTTCTGTTATCTTAGCCTCTTGGTAATTGTTATTTTATTGCGCATCAGTCAGGCATGAATGTAAAATGTTGACATACAAAAAAGAAATAGTGATTTGGCATAGTTGATGACTTCTCGACATCTCGAAGAAAAAATTTGAAATTGTTTGGGAATGTGGAATTCTATGATTTTTGGAAAACTGGGAAAATTTAAAGTATGAAGCCCTGCACACACCAGAGCGATACTGGAGCGGGCGCGATACTTTTTCTTTGAAATTATCTTGCGATAACAGTGGTCCGTGCAATACCATGGCGGCTTATGGAGCCGCACACACCAAAGCGAACCGCGATACGTGATACCGAGACGAATGCGATAACGTAGCGATAGTATTGTGTATTGGCAGTAAATTGGTTATCTTGCTTCTACAGTTTACTCTTCAGTAAGAAGAAACAGCTTGAGCTCAACCTGTAAAAGTTTAGCTATGAAGGTTGTGGTGTAACAACATGTCAGAATTCAACACCCTATTATCTAGAATCTTTGGCAATTACACCTTAACTCCAACCTGTAACCTATGTTTCTAAAATAAAACTTGACAACTCTAATTTCTACCCTTACCCTTTCAGATTCAAGATATAGAGGTCTTACTGTACTTGTATCTGTTGCCTGTACTGCATTTTAACTCCATCAGTGAGTTATGGTTATTAGGCCACAAAATTGATGCAGCAATGTTTGGTTCAGATCCCAGTGTGATTTTTATTTTTATAATCATATTTATAATGGAATAATATTTATTTGCACTGCTCTAGCTAACCCATTGCTTTGTATAGTGAGTGTTACATACTGCATGTTTTTATTCCCATTCCAACACTGGGTGGAGAATGCAAGTTTATATGTTGAAAAATGGAAAATTCTTATCATTAGATTTACATATCAGTTATAACCAAATATTAAAAAACTTTAAATATGATGTAATGATTCAAATACATCTTATCGATTAAAAATAGACCTTTTCTCTGATCAAAAGCTTAAATTAGATATAAACTATGATATTACATCTATTTTATGCATTTCATCTTGTCATAAAAACATTTAGACTGGATTTTTTCACTGCAGTGTAATAGACAAAATGTGTCAAGAAAAACCTTATTATAATAAAGAATATCTACTGTTTTCTAAAGGAAAAGGACAGAAGGTGTACTTACCGTACTTTAATTTCTTCTTTGGTCTCCTCGTTCCATCAAGCAACCCACCAGAAACAGACATACTATACATTAGTATCAGATAATTTATAACAAAATATATTTATCAGTACAAATTTTTAACTATTTTTTTTAGTACTGGAAAGGTGTGTTATGCTTGGCAATGGGTGAGAGTTTGATAT